GAGAGAGAGAGAGAGAGAGAGAGAGAGAGAGAGAGAGAGAGAGAGAGAGAGAGAGATGCCTGGATTTGCCGTTTATGTGGCCCATCACGAACTAGGCCAGTGGCGGTTTTTGTCTTCCTTGCCTTCGCCCTCGACTGTTCCTTTTTTTGACTCCCTTTGCTGTGGACAAGTTTTGAACTTTGGCCTGCCTGCTGGGTTGCCGTGCGCCGAGTTTGAAAATCTGGCATGCCTCCCCTGTAATTCCCCACCCCTTTCCCGTCAACCTGCCAACTGGTAATCTCTCAAAACTACCTTTGCAGGCTTTCTTTCTTCGCAGGAGGCCTTGTTTCTCCTGTACGGCATTGGGGAGGCTCAAAAGATTGAAGTGGGAAAAAACAAACAAACAGCCAGGCAGCCAGGCAGCCAGCCAGAAAAGTAAACACACCGAGCTAGGCTGGATACTCAGTACTTACATGTTTTTTACTCTTTATCTTGTCATTAGCAGCCTGGCCATAACGTGGCCTGTCTTGCAAAGTCACCTCAAGAACAGCAGCGGCAAGTTATACCACAGAAGGTGTCAGGTCATCAACTGCAGCAGGGCCTGCTTTAAATTACCGTGGTAAATCATTTGTGCCATCCAGGACGCACAACTGCTGCATGGGCACCACTCGCCATCGCCTCGCCTATCTTGTGGATCCTCCCAAAGAGCTCCAGAGAAGCCAGCAGCGCATAACGCCCCTTGAGATTTGAGATCTCAAACTGAAGCAAGGCCTGTCATAGATTAGGGTAGTCAATGACATGCAGACGTAGGGCACGGTGCGACTTGACAAAGCCCATCGCTCAGCCGTCAAATGATGCAGTGGGACGGTCTGCTGCATGTGGCATCTCTTCATGAAGTGGAATTGTCTTCATAGATCATCAACCCTCTTCCTCTCTGTATGTTATCAGCCCACCAGAGGGCTCTCTTGACCTCACCCTTTTACCCAGTAGTCCTCCTCCCCCCCCGATGCGCCTGCCAACTTCGACAACGACCAACCATTTCTACAGACAGCGCCATCTGTCGGGACTACGTGCCTATATCGATCTACGTATTCTCTTCCTGCGATCTTATGATACCTACGATGGTAACACTATCAAGGACTGTCCAACTTACACTAGCGGCAATGCTTTCAGTGCATCACTGTGTCATATGCTTTTCTTCTTCTACTACGGCTGGACCTTCCTATCAATCGATGGGGAAAATCTTCTACTGTGCTGCTGCACGTGGTCCCCACTTTCTATCCTCTTTTGGGTGTTCAACGTATCTAGACTCTCAACAAATTTCTACCAACGCAAAATAAATGACACAGAAAATGACAGATCTGATCACAGAAACTTCGGAAAGCGAAAAGAAAAAAGAAAAATGGCATGTGTGAGGAGTGCCATCTGTCATTGGCTTATCAGCTGTGAATAACCCAATGGCATGGACTCATGGAGTCTCGCAAATTGCTCCACTGGTGTACTTAATCTTGACTTTCTATTTCTGTCGTTCAGCAAAATGTACACTGAGTAGAGAGGCACATTACAAAAATGCTTGCGGGAGCTGAAGCCAAGGAAATACAGAAGGGTATACGGAGTGTTGAGTGCAGGTTGCAAAGGCACTTCTCACGCCCATGAGCATGCAGTTGAGTTGAGACTCGAAAAACACACCCAGCCCTAGCCTACCCAAGGAAAAAAAAACTGGCCCGTTTCTAGTAAGAGATTCTGATGGTTTCCGGTACTAGCCTGATGGACTTAGAATAAATGATATCAAAATATATGGCCGTCGAGAGGCGATGACAGCACGATCATTCGTGAGCAAAATCACAACGGAGCAGTCAACGAAGGGAAGAGCCAAGCTCTCGTGGAACGAAATGGTCCTGCATGAAATCTAACCTGCAGGCCTCAAAGTGACAAATGATCCAAGCACAGACCCATGGCACCTGGTCTAGTCCCAGCCCCTGGCTTGGGTCTTCATCTGGGCCCCAAGATGGGGCCAGACCCTTAGTCCCTGGTCCAGAACCGGGAGCGCAATGAAGCAAGCATGGCGCAGGACGAAATGGTCCTGCATGAAATCTGACCTGCAGGCCTCAAAGTGACAAATGATCCAAGCACACACCCATGGCACCTGGTCTAGTGCCAGCTCCTGGCTTTGGTCTTCACCTGGGCCCAGTCCTCACCTGGTCCCAAGTTGGGGCCAGACCCTTTGTCCCTGGTCCAGAACCGGGAGCGCAAGGAAGCAAGCATGGCGCTGGATGACATGGTCCTGCATGGAATCTGACTTGCAGGCCTCAGAGTGACAAGTGATCCACGCTAACACCCATGGCACCTGCTCTATCCCCGCTCCAGGCTTGGGTCTTAATCTGGGCCCAGTCCTCACCCCTCCAGGCTGGGGTCCTAATCTGGTCCCAGTCCTCACCCGGTCCCAAGTTGGGCCCAGACCCTTAGTTCCTCCATGGTCCAGAACTGGGATCTCAAAGAAGGAAGCATGGTGGCCCCTTGACCACGGTTTCTTGAAGTAAGAAAGGCATGAACAAGATCTGATTTGATGTGGCGGCGCAACAGTTTATGGTCGAGACCCTACAGGCATGGGAATAGTCACAGAATACTACAACGTTACAGACAGACATAAGCATATCCACATGCAAAAAGGCTAGCACCAAATGTACTTTGCAAGTTTGCACTAAGATCCCTTAGGTATCACCTCACGCTTGGAAAACCTATTGGATCAGACTCCCCCTAGAATTCGATTCATCGACTAAAATCCACTCCCCTCCCTCCTCCTCGTGCGTGATCACCCAGCTCCATTCTTTTCTCATATAATCTCAGGGCATACTCACACAAGGACTTCTTCTACTACACTCTAGACATGATTGCGGTCAGATTCATCCAGGTCTGGCCGTAATTGCAGTCGGGTACATTAAAGAAAGAGCTAGTGTGAGTCTTCCCTCAGCCTCACAATAAAAAAACTCCAGAGCATGCAGCGGACCTACACCGCAACATGCTCCTTCAACCGTGTAATGCTTCAATGCACTGCTCCATGCGCTCACCATATGCACTTTCCTGTTCCAGAGGCTCAAAGACAACTGCTAGAAAGCTAGGCCCTACTCACACCTAGTGCACTTCTATAAGACTGACACATCCATCGGAGGAAACTGAATGGTCCTCCTGGCGACCAGAAATACGAACCATCCTAACTCAGCCTCATCCCCATCCTATCTCATCCTGACGAAGACTGGTGGAACCCAAAAGCACTACGTCTCCTCACATCCCCCCATCCCCCCACCCCCTACTCTTCCAGCGACCTCCCACAAGTCTCCGATAGCCTGAGTTCTCCTCAGGATGTGGGATTCGGCATTTGCCTGCCGGAGTTTATGGGATCCTCCCCTCCCGCAGACATGCTTCCGCTTCGCCGGAAGCTGCCACTAGGGGTCAAGCTAGGGCTGGAGCCATCTCTCTTCATTGATGCACTTTTAAACCATCCACTTCGCCGGAACGCCCCCATGAACGTTGCAGTCTGTGCCAATTGCTGGACCCCCTGTCCGCCAAAGCTTGATGGGATCTCTCCACTTGCAGGAATAGAAATCTCTCTCGGAGCAGAAGAATTTGGCGAGGACGGTTGGGACGGGTTTCCGACCATTGAGGCGCTTCGCTGAAGGTGTGCGGGCCGTGCTTGATCTCTGAAAAAGAAAAATTTGTCCCGAAAAACCACCCACCCCTCAATCAAAGTTAGTGAACTTCCCCCTTAGATCCAGTCAGACATTGTGAGAGCAAGCATTCCGAAACAAATCCGTCACCTGTCCATTTCCCTTATTACCAGATAGCGTCTCCTTGTTGCCGCTTGGCCATCTGGCTTGTCTCAGGTCCACATCAGAAGTTCTTCACCCCACCTGCAACCATGCCCCCCCGTCCCCCCTCCCTCCCTCTCTCTCTCTCTCTCTCTTTCTCTCTCTCTCTCTCTCTCTCTCTCTCTCTCTCTCNTCTCTCTCTCTCTCTCTCTCTCTCTCTCTCTCTCTCACACACACACACACACACACACACACACACACACACACACACACATTTTCAAACATACACTTTGACACACATGCACAGATACGCACACACAAAGTCTGACGAACCTATGACCAGTGGAGTGGAAGGACTCTTTGTGAATATACAAGAAGCCCGAGATCAGCTCACAAGGAGTCGAACCTATGACCTAGTACCACCAACTGTAGACCTAGTACCCCCGCAAGGGCCAGCGAGTTCCCTGTAGACCTAGTACCCATGCGGGTACGAGGTCTACAGTTGGTAGTACTGGTGGTCCAGGATCACTTGACAACCACTTGTAGATAAAGGGAGCTGGGAAGAAAGTGAAGCCGCTTGTGGGAGACATTTCACCCCACCCCATCCCAGCATGGAAATACATTCATGACCCAGTGTACCCTGGCTCTACTCAACCCGTGTGCCTTGCGGCACCGGTCTGACCTCAACCAAAACACTGCAAGGGCGTCCGACCAGCTCAAAGTGCTTGCGATCTGCAAGAAGGACCGAGTCCCCTAGGGTGGCAGTCTGTGGCATGGGATAGCACACACTGTGATACTAAAACTCAGTCATATTCGTCAGACCTCAACCAAACCACTGCAAGGGCATCTGACCAGCTCAAAGTGCTAGCGAATATGCAAGAAGGACTGAGTCCCGTGGTGTGGCAGTCTGTGCCATAGGATAGCACACACTGTGATAATAAAGCTCAGTCATATTCCTTTTGTCTTTTCAACTTTTCAGTGATGGACGGCGACGTGACCTGAATCCCACAATCGAAGTTCGGATGTACAAGGAACGGAGAAGCATGTCAGAGGAAGGGTTTTCTTCAATACGCACGAGGCAGAAGGGCGATGCTGGGGTAGTCACCGCGTACTCTAGTTTTTCACTGCAGATTAAGAAGCCCTCTACGAGAGTAAAGCCTCACCAGGTCCTGATGTGCTACGTTTTCTTTACATGAATAATATCATATTAATATGTCAGCGGACGGCTTTTCTAATCTTTCGTCAATGTAGAGGCCACAACACGAAAAAGAATGGGATAAGGAATCTGGTGAATGTGGGCTACGTAGAGTAAAAAGGGAGAATCATGGGGAGTTGCATCCGGGGGTGGCAGGGGAGGGGATCACACCTCCTAATGAAGGCGGTCAATTAGAAATTAGAATATATGTGGGTGATCAGGGGATGGGTAGAAACGGAAAGGCCAAAGTAAGCGCTACCGTCTTCACCCGAATAGAACGCCCAATAATTATGGCCGCATCTGGACTGGAAGCTAGGTCAAATACAGCTATAATGACCGGGCGTTCTATTTGGGGGAAGACGGTAGTTAGAACTTAGAACTCAGCAGAATCAGAGTTTACTGTAGAAGACTGAAGGGACAAAGGTTCAAGCGCCAGCGAAAGTTCTGACAGGAGCAGGGAAAAGCAGGGCACCCCCCGGGGGCACGGGGCTAAGGTGGAAGAGGAAACTGGACTGATGCTTCTCGAATGGAAAGCCATAGAAAAATCGAAGACGCTGCTGTTCAAACGCATATGCCCATGCACGCACACCCAAGAGCTACAGTAACTCCTATTGGTAAGCACACTTTCAAGCGTACTCCTGTGCGACGGCCTGTGCGATGGCCATGCTTCCATGCATCATCCAGCGACGGTCCTAGGAACCTTAACAGAGGGTCGAAAATTCGCCGTTTTCGGCAACAGTTTCGTTGCAAAATTCGGCGAAAAGTTCAAAGGCATACTAATATGGGCCCATACTATAGTGCAAACATCAAAAAGACAAACAGGCCAAAGAAAACAAACAAAAAGAACACAAAAACACTATAAAACAAGGCTGGGCCAGCAACCGGCCGGATCACCTGCCCCGGTCCAGGGGGGGTGAACCGGCAAAACCAGCTGCCCCCCAAAAATGCCCAATTTTTTTTATTTTTTTTTTTGTGATTGCGGCATCTGACTGCGCTCTTTGAGATCTGTCGGAATCCGCAATTAAACTTGACAGTCAGGAATTTCTTTTTGGGTGGTGGTGGGGGGGGGTTGGGGTCGGGGTGGGAACAAGAAAAAGAAGAAGAGGAGGATGAGGGAAAAAGATGATGAGGACGGAGGAGAAGAAGAACGAGAATCTGATACGAAAACGGAAACAGAGGAGGAGGAGGAGGAGGAGGAGGAGAAGAAGAAGAAGAAGAACGAGAATCTGATACGAAAACGGAAAAAGAAAAAAAAAACGCTATGGCTATGGCTATGGCTCAACGGGGAGGGAAGCAGAGGAGGAGGAGGCGGCGGCGAAGAAGAAGAAGAGGAGGAGGAGGCGGAGGAGGAGAGAAGAAAGCAGAAGAAGCAGAAGAAGAAGAAGAAGAAGAAGAAGAAGAAGAAGAAGAAGAAGAAGAAGAAGAAGAAGAAGAAGAAGAAGAAGAGAAGAAAGCAGAAGAAGAAGAAGAAGAAGAAGAAGAAGAAGAAGAGGAAGAGGAGGAGGAGGAGAAGAAGAAGAAGAGGAGGAGGAGGAGGAGGAGGAGGAGGGAAAAAGATGAAGAAGAATAGGACGAGGAGGAGAACAAGAAGAGGAGGAAGGGGGAAAAAGATGATGAGGACGAGGAGGGGGAAGAGAAGAAGAAGAAGAGGAAGAAGATGAAGAAGAAGAAGAAGAGGAGGAAGAGGAGGAGGAGGAGAAGAAGAAGAAGGAGAAGAGGATGAGGAGGGAAAAAGATGAAGAAGAAGAGGACGAGGAGGAGAACAAGAAGAAGAGGAGGAGGAGGGAAAAAATGATGAGGACGAGGACAAGGAGGAGGAAGAGAAGAAGAAGAAGAAGAAGAGGAAGGAGGAGGAGGAGGAGGAGAAGAAGAAGACGAAGAAGAAGAAGAGGAGGAGGAGAAGAAGAAGAAGAAGAAGAAGAAGAAGAAGAAGAAGAAGAAGAAGAAGAAGAAGAAGAGAGGAGGAGAGGAGGGGCGCTGGTGGACTTACCTTCGCGGCTATGGGGGGCGGTTGCAACGGAGCAGGATGGCGGGGTGAAGCAGCTGCAGAGAGAGGTCGGTGGCGGGCTCGAGACGGGGCACTGGCGCTTGTCGTGCGGTGGCAGCACACGACGTCGACGCACATGCAGAAAGGCGCGACGTCAACGTTGTGTGTTTCTTGCTGTAGCATGGGGCAGGCGGGGCAGAGGGGCAGAGGCAGCCCACTGGAACGGTAAAGATTTCAAAACGTCGCCGATTTCGGCCGCAGATCCGTAGATATGCGGCCGAAATCGGGCGCGTTTTCAAATTTCAAAACGGGGGCCTATCGGACCCCGTTTTCGTTTGCAAACGCGCGGCCGATTTCCACCGTCGAACTGCGCCGATTGGCGGCGGAGATTGGCCGCGCGTTTTCAAATGAAAATGGGGTCCGGTAGGGCCCGCTTTCATTTTTCCTGCTGGCGGCGGCCTCTAAGAGGCTGGGCGGGGACGGGGACGCCCGAAAATCCCCCGTACCGCCCCCCAAAATTTGTGCGCCCGATTGAACCGGGGGCCTGCCGGGCCAGTGAACCGCCCGGTCGGACCGGTAGGCTCCCGGTCCGTCGCAGGTCCCCCGGTCCATCCGGGGACCAGAACTGCTATAAAACCCTAACACAAAAACACTTTCCGAGTTAAAATACCCCCCGTTAAACACATGTGACAAACTCCGCATTTCTCCCTAGTTCACCACAGCGTTGGGCACAATCACAGAGAAGCGTCATCATCGTATACATTGCATACAACAAGGGGCACATAAGCTGCAAAACAACACTATGCGCAGCCAACAACCGATTTTGCATTGCATATGACTCAGCACGACTGCTTCTGCATCAAACATGAGGTCTGCGGTCAATGCGAGCCATACTGCTGTGTGTGCACAAGTGGGGCACTGTGATGCATGGATGGGGCTGTGTTAGTTTGCAAGGGCAAAATTGATCGAAGGGGTTGATGTGATTGTTGGTTGTTCATGTCCTTGCCAACAGTGAAGTTCTGTACACTGATATGGGGTCAGATTGTCACCAAGCAGACGTATGTTGCTGCAGAGGTATAGCATAACTGCCTTTTAGTCTTTGAGTCAAAATTGAAAGATTTTGTTCGCACGACGAGATTGAGGAAGGGGGGGGGTCGCCGTTGTAGCTTAAAGCACCAGTACACCACATATCGGCCCACGGGTATCAGCATGAAACCCACACCATTTCCGAGGCCGCCAATTTTTTTTTTCAACAGCGGGCCTGGCCGCATGGCACCTCCGAGTTTTGCTTGTGGCGACAAAAACTTTCCGCAAGGCTGGGGGCGTGTACTAGCGGTTTAATGCTCACCCCCGACTTGTACGTGCTTGTATAGCTTGAATGAAATGGCTGTGTTGTCATATCTTACAATAGATGGGTGATGTGCTTATATTTCCTTTTTTCTTCACAACCGTGTTCTTTACAAAACACCCTACCTACATTATAAGGCAGTTCCTTATAGAACTGCCTTATACTGCTTCCCCCCCGGCCCCCAATGTTCCATGCTTTCATTTGGGGGTTGTAATGGGCTTCTTTTTGGCCCTGGTGTTGCTGGCTGTTGCTTGTCCTGCTCGGGTTTGTTTTTTTGTTTTTTTTGTTTTTTTTAATCCCTTGCCTTTGTTTGTTTGTATTTTTCAGGCGTCGTGACATGTAGCATGTCCAGGTTCATTGCAACAAGCGATGTCCTGCAGTATATCGTGTTTCATTCTAAAATGTCATGGTGACTATGTCGGATTGTGCTTGACTACCGCCTTCACCCAAGTAGAGTGCCCGGTCATTATAGCTGTATTTGGCGCAAGTTTCAGTCCAGACGGAAATAACTACTGGGCGTTCTAGTCGGGTGAAGATGGCACTGCATACGTAAGCAAAAACTCCATGGTTATAGCATGGTTGAGAATGTGCTCAAGTAAGACCAAAGAGATTGATGTGATTGGAGGGTGTTTATGTCATTGCCGACAGCGAAGTTGTGGCCAGTGCTCAAGGCGGACTTGTTTAGACCCCTGAGTCTTGCCTCGTATCTGCTGGATTGGACTTTTTTAGACCCCTGAGTCTGGTGCTGTGTGCTCAAGATCAATGGTTGGCTGTGCAGGATTGTGGTTTTGACAAGTGCATACGTAAGCAACAATTTCGTGGTATAGTTAGGTTGAGTATGTGCTCAAGTGAGAAGGGGGTGTACTTGAGTCTCTTCTCGTATCTGCTGGATTGTGACTTGTGTAGCCCCCTGAATCTGGTGCTGTGTGCTCAAGATCAATGGTTGGCTGTGCAGGATTGTGGTTTTGACGAGTGCATACGTAAGCAACAATTTTGTGGTATCGCATGGTTGAGTATGTGCTCAAGTGAGACGGGGGTGTACTTGAGTCTTGCCTCGTATCTGCTGGATTGGACTTGTGTCGACCACTGAGTCTGGTGCTCTGTGCTGAAGATCAATGGTTGGCTGTGCAGCATTGTGGTTTTTACGTGTGCATGCATAAACAACAACTACATAACACCGCAGCTCGATTCTTGGCCAAGCAGCACAGCTGGATAACGGAGCTGCCCATTGAGCTCCCGCCCATTGAGCTCCCGCCCATTGAGCTCCCGTACAGCTCTGCGGCGATGCAACAGCTCAGTGTAACTTCCACAGATTCTGAACTCAAGGCTGCACTAACTTGAGTTGCTGGTCCCAGGTTACAGCAAAAGCTCTGCGTCACTGTGGAGACGTCAACTGCATTACAGCTCTGAGGTTAGGCAACAGCTCAGTAGTCGTAAGCTCCACAAAACTTTAAAAAGTGCACTCACTTGACGCGGTCTTGCAGCCCTCCTCTCTGCTTCTTCAGATCTGCATTCTCCATCAGTGCATTCACCTTCTCCTCGGTGACCTACAATGCAAACCACAACATGAAGAGAGTAAAGACCACGGGGACAAATTAGAGGCAGGTGGAGAGCATGATAGTTGATACAACAGAAGTTGCCGATGCCGGTAAGCGAATCCAGAACAGATAAGGAGAGATCTCCTTCACATCCGCCATCCATATCAAACATCTTGAACACGTCATGCTACATCAGCAGTTCACGTGTCATCCGCTCCCAAAGCAGAGACACAACAGTCGCATCAGCCGACTCAGGATACATTCAGAAATGGCCGTCAGCATACATTCAACCAGACTGAAGTGGAGTCCTTCGGGACATCTGTTAAAATTGGAACAAATACTAGGATGGACCCTGCACAAGGATGACGCACATATATTATCGAGAGACAAAAAAAAGAAACGAGTCCATCAGTGTCATACTTTCAGTTTCGAACAGAATGAAACATGATTCAAGAGAGAAAGTGGAGTTTTTTTTTTTTTTTTTTTTTTTTAATAATTGCATGGGTCCTGAAGACCATCTCACGCAAGTGTGTATATGTCATGCGTCATCCTTGCACACAATGAACAAGATTCTCACACATTAGATAAAGG